TGTATTTTTTAATTGTTTTGCAATTTGAATTTTGACTTTTGATGTAATCCCAAATTGTACAGATGCCTGTTCTTGTCCTCAGGATGTAGCTTTACAAACTATTTAGGTTTGCTTATTTACTCATTTCTTCATTTTCATCTTAGAATTTTCGTGTTTGGGTGTTTGAGTAGATGGTAGTCCTCTAAAGACTTTCTTTTCCATTTTTGACTCACTGGTCAGTTTCTTGCTTGTTCTTCCTTCAACATAGCTCAGGTCTCCCTGCCAGAAAGTGTGGGGACAACTGGAGAAGAATCTTGAAATCCATCACATGGTGAAAACAAAATTCAAGGAAGGACACATTTAATTTTTGTGGTGAAGCAGAGAGCAGGTGGAGAGAGGAAGGTCTTTTTGGCTCAGCCATTGAGGTCAAGTCTCATTTTGCACACAAGATTGTTCTCAGCCTGTAGACTTTGGAATACTTCTTTAGAATTCCTGAAGCATTTATTGTCTGTGTCTCTCCTCTGTTACTTGGAATGGGATCTTTATTTTATCTCCAATCAGCTTGAAATCCCTTCAAAGATAAAGACTATCTCCCATCTCTCTGCCCTCTAGTACAGCAGAGTCTAGAACATAATTGACTGTCAATATATATTTGCTGAACAACTAGGTAAGTATGTTTTTTTTCCCTCAATTCCATGTATGGCAGGCATTTAGTAACTTTTGTTAACAGTTACTAATAACATATTTAAAAATCACTACCCAAACAACAATCAGAAAATGAGCAGAAGACCTAAACAGACATTTCTCTGAAGAAGACAGATGGCTAAGAAACACATGAAAAGATGCTCAACATCGCTCATTATTAGGTAAATGCAAATCAAAACTACAATGAAGTTAATTAACTTCTCACCTCACACTGGTCAGAAGGGTCATCATCAAAAAATCTGCAAAGAATAAATGCTGGAGAGGATGTGGAGAAAAGAGAACACTTTTGCTCTGTTGGTGGGAATGCAAATTGATACAACCAATATGGAAAAGTATAGTGGTGGCTTAATCACTAAGTTGTGCCTGGCTCTTGTGACCCCATGGACTGGAGTCCACCCGGTTTCTCTGTCCATGGAATCTTCCAGGCAAGAATACTGGAGTGAGTTGCCATTTCCTTTTCAGGACCCAGGAATCAAACCCGGGTCTCCTGCATTGCAGGCGGATTCTTTACTGACTGAACTACAAGGGAAGCCCCTTCTCTTGTGGAGAAGTATAGAGATTCCTTTAAAAACTAGGAATAAAACTAACATATGACCTAGCAATCCCACTACTGGGCAAATACCCTGAGAAAATCATAATTCAAAAAGACACTTGCACCCCAGTGTTAATTGCAGCACTTTTTTCAGTAGCCAGGACATGGAAGCAACCTAGATGTCCATAGACAAATGAATGGTAAAGAAGTTGTGGTACATATACACACTGGAATATTGCTCAGCCATTTAAAGGAATGAATGAATTTAAGTCAGTTGAACTGAGGTAGATGAACCTAGACCCTGTTATACAGAGTGAAGTCAGTCAGAAAGAGGAAAACAAATATTATATATTAATGAGTATACATGGAATCTAGAAAAATGCTACTGATGAACCTATTTGCAGGGCATTAAGAGAGACACAGACATAGAGAATGGACTTGTGGACACAGTGAGGAAAGGAGAGGGCGGGATGAATTGAGAGAGTGGCATTGAAATATACACACCACCACGTGTGAAATAGAGAGCTAGTGGGAAGTTGCTCTATGACATCCTCTGGAGAAGGAATGGCAACCCACTCCAGGATTCTTGCCTGGAGACTCCCATGGACAAAGGAGCCTGGGCAAGCTACAGTCCATGGAGTTTGCAAAGAGTTGGACACAACTGAGCGACTAACACACACAGACAGCCTGGTGCTCTGTGATGACTTAGAAGTATGGGGTGGGGAGATGGGAGGAAGGTTCCAGAGGGAGGGGTACATGTATACTTATGGCTGATTCACATTGTTGTACGGCAGGAACCAACACACCATGGTGAAGCGATCATCCTCCAATAAAAAATAAGTTAACGAAGAAACACTGGCTACTTATAGCTCTACACATTTTTGGTGCATGTGAAACCTATCTGTTTCTTGATTATATCTCTTGATTTGATCCTTTGGAAATAAATATTAAAAACCTGGGATTGTTCAGGTTCTGTATCAGTCGTCTCTTTTTCAGAGAAAGGGGCTATAATGATAGTTAACACATTCAGCATCTATGTGTGTTTTCAGTAGTGTCTGACTCTTTGCAACCCCATGGACTGTAGCATGACAGGCTCCTCTGTCCACTGGATTTTCCAGGCAAGAATACTGGAGTGGGCTGCCATTTCCTCCTCTAGCAGATCTTCCCAACCCAGGGATCGAACCCATGTCTCCTGCGTCTCCAGCCTTGGCAGGCAGTTCTTTACCACTGAGCCACCTGGGAAACCCCGTTAACACAGTTACGTATTTGCTAACTAACACAGCTGGCTAGGATATTAGCTCTGAGACTGGGAAGGAGATAGGTGGGAAGTCATCTGTTAATTTAATCTGAACAGAGTCATTTCACCTCTCACCTCAGTCCTCTACTTGGATCAGTAAACAAAGCAGCTCACAGCTGGGTCTTTATTTTACTTCATTCTGTGTTGATGCAAGAAAGGTAGTGCTTTACTTCCTATCTTGATGGCAGATAGTTCAGGCTAACCCAGTATTATCCTTGGCATTATAATGATTACTTGAATATAAAATCATAATTAGTTGAATACTTTAACGAATGCTCCCGAGAAATAATTATGTGTTTCAAGGTAAAATCCAGGGGACAAAATTCAGTTCTTCTGAGCAATTCTGTTGAAAAGGTAATACTATCCTTGTGTGTAAGATGGTGGCACAGACATTCTTTTTATCTCTCAGCATACCTGTCCTTCCTCAATCAAGTATTTCTTTGATCAAAATCTGTCATCTTGGGTCACCTGAAAATTAAATTGCAAATTATGTCAATAAAAATGTCTGCAGAATTTGATGTTGTAAAAACAATAGAGAAATAATGAACAAATAGATTGAGCCCCTGGCACATAGTGGATGATCCAAGCTATGAGCTTTGTAAATGAATGTAGATGCTGACCACACCGAGAACAAAAACAAAGGCAACAGTTTGGGAACGTACTCGCAGATCAAACTTGTACCTCCATGGTAGAAAGGAATAAAAGTGACAAAATGCAGGAAATAATCTCCAGCTGATGCAGTCTGTCCCTCTGAAACTCAGAGAGGACCTTCCAGAACACCTGAGAGCCAACTGGACTTGATACGAACTTTAAGTAAGGAGCGGTCATGGCTGGAGCTGAATAAATGACACATTGGGATCAAAATCCTGTTCATGCTTTTTGATCAAGCCTTTTTTCTTTTTTTTTTTTTAATACATTTGGCTGTGTCGGGTCTTAGTTGTAGCATGTGGGCTTAGTTGCCCTGAAGCTTGTGAGATCTTAGTTCTCCGACCAGGGATCAAACCTGGGTCTCCTGCATTAGGAAGGTGAATTCTTAACCACTGGACCACGAGGGAAGTCGCTCGATGAAGCTTTCACTCTTCTCTATACTAAGTGTTTTATACCCTTCAGGTGTGGGAGAGCAGTTTATTCAGGAAAAAGAGCTTTGAAACAAAAACATTAAGGATCCTCTCGATTTTCTCACTGTTGACTTGTGCTCGCACATTGCATCTAGGGTTTTCCCTTTGGTGGTAAAGGAGTTTTTTTCTCTAATTAAGTCAATTAATCAAGTGAAAATCAAACTTTTTTTCTTTTCTAGGAAAGGAATGAACACCTCATCCCATTTTTTTGTTTGATTAGAGGAAGATGCTTTCATTATTTGTCAACTTCTGGGTGTCTTCACTCAAAGTCAATCTGGACATCACTAAATAAATAACAAGCGTCTTCATTATAATTGTAGAAGACTAGATAGAAAAATTGAGTCTTGACCTTATGCCCTAAGGACCAATAAAGACAGCCAATTTAGAGAGAGTTCTGGAGTCAAGGTTTCTCCATTTAAAATACCCATATCCTGTATTTGCTCTATGACTCAAGGAATTGAAAATGATGCTCTGTGATGACCTAGAGAGGTGGGATGGGATGGGAGGTGGGAGAGAGATTCAAGAGGGAGGGGACACATGTATACCTGTGGTTCATTCATGTTGGTATATGGCAGAAACAAGCACAACATTGTAAAGCAATTATCCTTCAATTAAAACTAAATTTAAAAAATCCAGTGATAAACCATAATGGAAAAGAATGTAAAAAAGAATATGTGTGTGTGTGTTTGTGTGTAACTGAATCACTTTGTTGTGCTGCAGAAAGTACCACAACATTGTAAATCAACTATACTTCCAAAAAAAAAAAAAAAGCCACATCCTATTCTTTAGAGTTCAGCTCGTATGATTAGCTGAGTATTCCTGCTATGTCTCCAGAGATAGAGACAAGTCTCTTAAGCAACACTTGTCCTAATTGCCTTGTTTGTACTAATGTCCTCAGAACTTTAATTTAACTTGTTTGGAAATGTTCCTTTTTCTTTGTCTGCCTCTTGCTCTCCAAATGATTTGAATTTCTGTTGCACATGGGCTCCTTTCTGGGTCTGGCCTTGCACTTCAACTTTGCTGTTAGATATTTTCAGTCGTGGTTACAGAGCACCATAAAAATTGATTGAAAAATTTAGCCTGGCTATAAAATTACTTTTAATTCTCACATTCCAGCATTCTATTTCAAGTGTGATGATGTTCCTTGTGTGTGCCTCGAGCAGTCTCTTCTCTGTCTTTTCTCTGTGGTTAGCTCTACTTGAAGGTCGTTTCCAGCTTAGCTTCTTTAAATTTTTAATGATTCTTCAATGTTCAACTAGTAGCTCTCCCTCTCTATGAAATCCTTCTGGAGTCTTGAAGCCTTTTCACTACTCCTCATGGCCATCGCCATATTATTTACCCTTATTGTGCCTTGGGGTTTATCTCCCAGTATTCCTAGGCTATCAGCATCTTAAGAGGCAGGACTTTGCTCCCTTGATTGTTTTCAACCAAAAGCTGTCTAAGAGTTGTTGCTCAAAAAGTTTCATGGATGGAAGCCTCCAAAGCCTCCAGTCGCTCCAGCTGGCGGGCCTCATGGGCTTCCCTCCGGGACTGGCCACAGTCGCGGCAGCCGGAGGCGACGACGCCAAGAACCCGGCAGCCGTGCTGCCCTTGATGCCACCGGGCGTGGCCGGTCTGCCCAGCATGTTCCGGCTCGGAGGGCTGCTCAACGCCCCGCTGTCTGCCGCCACCGGGAGCCCCGCGGACCCCGAGGACGGTGCGCCCAGGGCAGAGGAGAAGGGCGGCGAGCACGAGGACAGGAGCAAGGGCCCGGAGGAAAGCACAGACGCCGCCGCGGCCCGGCCTCTGCGAACGGATCAGTGGGTGCTGCCGCCGGCCCGGCCGGCCTGCCCTCCAGCCCGCTGGCCTCCAACCCCTTCCTGCTGTCCACCATGGCCCCCGGCCTCTTCTACCCGTCCATGTTTCTGCCTCCAGGACTGGGGGGATTGACGCTGCTCGGCTTCCCCGCGCTTGCGGGGCTCCGGGGCGCCGTGGGCGCCAGCGAAGACAAGGCCCCCGACAAAGCCGAGCGGGCCGCCGTTCAGGAAGAGGAGCCCCTCGAGGGCAGCGACGCCGAGGAGAGCCTGGACAAGACGGCCGAGTCCTCCGTCCTGGAAGACGAGATCGCCCAGGGCGAAGAGCTGGACTCCCTCGACGGCGGGGACGAATTGGAAAACAATGAAAATGACGAATAACCAGTACCAGTTTCCAGTTAAAGTGTTTGAAAGCGTTTGACAAGTGGTAGTTCTACTGTTCACATTCACAGTTAATGTCCATACATAGTTTTCTAAGCTGCTCTGTAACATAGTGTAGCAAAAGAAAGAAAAAAAGTCCCAAGTCATGTTATACAGGTGTGTTGAAAGGTATCTTGGTCATTAAGTATTGTGCAGTGCATTATTTATTATTTAGGCACTAGGAGAGATGAAATTTGAGAGGCGATCCTGTCTTTTTAAGGAAACGTACATAACACTCTGCTTTTTTATTTTTCTTCCCTTGTTCTCTACTTTTTCTTTTGGTACCAGTTGGTATTATAATAAAGAGCAATTTGTAACCGAGTGGCACTCATGGAAAGAAGTGCTGCTCAAAGGAAAAAAAAAGTTTCATGGACGGAAGACACAAATATACTTTGGAATAAAATGATTGGATTACTAGACTAAATGTTTCCCCCTATTTTCCAACTGGATTTTGAAATCATATAGAAACCAACCAGCGGTATAATGCAAAATATCTCCCTCTTCCCAGGACATGTTGTGTAAACCTGTCAAAATTGTGTATATAAAGAAGCACAAGTGTGTTTGTAGCTGTATGCCTGTCCTTGGTGGGAAACCTAAATCCAAGTTTTGGCAAACTGATTAAGAAAATAACAATAGCCTCGGAGTGTGTGTGTGGCCTATTAATTTATGCAAAGTATTTTTGTGTCCTGGGAGAGATTGTCTTGGTGTTCCCTGAAACCTGACACATTTATCACACCTCTTAGCTTGGCTTTGATTCAGATTCCCTTAGAGTCACAGCCCTGGGCTTCCCTCGAGCTCAGTCGGTAAAGAATCCACCTGCAATGCTGCAGACCGGGGTTCGATCCCTGGGTCGCGTAGGTGCCCTGGAGAATGAAATGGCAACCTACTCCAGTATTCTTGCCTGGAGAATCCTTTGGACAGAGAAGCCTGGTGGGCTACAGTCCAGGGGTTTGCAAGAATTGCAACCATAAAATCTCCATGCAGCCCTGCCCCTCAGATAAGCACTCACCACCACTGTTCACTCTTGTTAGATCTTCTGGCGCCAGCACGTGCATTGTGACTTTCTTTTCAATCTCTAAAGAATACATGGTCACGTCAGAGAATAACTTTCTCCAACTGTTTTCCCCTCAGCGCTAGTTCCAAAGTATGTTTGTGGCTGAAGAAAATGGTTCTACACTCTCAGAGTTAAATTTAATTGGCGTCTCATGAAACTTTCAATGAAATTCTGCTTTTACTCTTTGGGAAATAAGAATCTTTCCGGTGCACACTCTTCCATTTGATTTGTAAAACTTCAGTAGGCAATTTAGATATAAAGATACAAATTCTGTTCAGAAAATCCACCCACCACACATAATAAAGTTATTTATAACAAGAAGACTCAAAGGAACAAGGCACAAACCCTGCCCTCAAGGAATTCAAGGCATCAATGGGTATTAAAAAATTAAAGCATGTATTGAATCAAAAGGAGTATAATATAGGTATTTGATATGATATGATAAAATGCAAAATGAAGCAGTTAGTCATCCCAAAAGAATGTTATCATGATTAGTGAGATCACATGATAGACAAATTTGGAGACACCTTGATGAAAGTGAACATTTCTTTTGTATGGGGATATCAATAGTATTTGGGCTTCCCTGGTGACTCAGGCAGTGAAGAATCTGCCTGCAAAGTGGGAGACCTGGTTTTGATCCCTGGGTTGGGAGGATCCCCTCGAGGAGGGCATGGCAACCCATTCCAGTATTCTTGCCTGGAGAATCCCCATGGACAGATGAGCCTGGTGGGCTACACAGTTCATGGGGTCACAAAAAGTTGGACACGATTGAGCGACTAAGCATAGCACACAGCATACATCACTAGTAGTTACATTATAGGTTTATTGTTGGAAATAAATGAGTTAATAGAGATAAGGCATTTGGAATACCGGCTGGCACAGGTTAAGCAGTTAGTATATGTTACTTATTTTCAATGATCATTTCTCATCTCTGTGAGCTATTTCAAAACTCTTTACAGATAGTTGCTATATTGCCACATTTCCCAAGCAGGGAGAAATACCTGGTTAATAGTCATTCCAAGGACATAAAATATGCTACAAAGAAGGATTATTGCCACCGACAGCTGTAGAGCTGTCACAGCAAGAATGAAAATTCTTAAGGCTTCATTATATGTTCACAATTTAAGGGAAGAAAAGTTTATCAAACATGTATTCTGCACACAACAAATCTCTGATGGGTTTTTCAGAGACTCACATAAATTAAGTAGATCTTGGATGATACACTGAACCTGAGCTGTTAATTCCCAGATCCCTGTATAAATTGTCATCTAACTTGGTGCCAAAATGAATAATAGAAGCCGAGTTTTCTGGATGACCAAAGTCAGACCTAGGGAGCAAAGGAATGAACTGAGCATGTTAATTTATTGCTATGTCAACAAAATAAAACAAATGATCACTTGTTTGTTGTTTTGTTGGTGATAGATAATACAGGTTCAGCCACTTCACTCAGTTTATTTTTAGTTAGGCAGCAGGGTCAAGTTGTTACAGTGGGGAGAGCCTAACTGTGTGACATTGAACCAGTTATTGCCAGCACTGGGCATCAGTTCTACCCTCTCAAATTGGAGTGTATCTCTGCTGTTCCTTCCTGAAGCAAAAGATAGTGGCTCTAGAAGATAGAATTATCTATGGATACTGTAGAAAATGGTTTACCACTCATCGGAAATTTTCTATTTAAAGGAATAGTTTAAAGTATGTGTAACAAAGTGCAGAGCATCGCTCAATGTTGATTTGTCAAAAGATTACACTTTAGCTCTTGAAATAAACGTTTCCCAAAATAACAGCATTTGGGAAACTTAGAGCTGGGCTTTAGTCCTTTCACAGGAACTAAGAGGTCTTTCACATGATGAAGGCAGAATACTGAGTAACAGAAGAAACAAGAAGTCCTCAGTCTGCTTTGCTCTGCCTGGGGACCCACTGGACTATTATTAGCATGGGATACAAAATAGATTTGGTAAACACTGGAGGAGTCTTGCCAAACAGCAGTCTCAAAGACATATGGTCCTTTGTAACTGCCATGATCAGTATAAACAAGCAAGATGTTCCAATTAAGAAGTCTCTGTAAGGCAGCTTGTTCTATAACTTAGCACTGGGGTTCTGAAACAGTCAAAACTTCGGGGGTTGGGAAACCCCATTCCTGCTTCCACACAGACTGAAACAGAGATCTGCCATCTCTGCTCTGACCACTAGAGGGAGGGCGACTACGCGGAATTACTCAGCTAAGCGGGCGGTTTCTCCAGCCCGCACGGTCACCCTCGCCTCCTCCAGCTCGTCTTGACGACAAACCAGTCGATCAGAGCGCCTGATTTTCTTTGGCTTTTTGAGAGAGTGGAAACGTAGGGGGATGTGTTTTATCGGTGCATATCAGCTCCTTCTTTCTTACTCAGTGGGGTTATGGTATGGATATTATTTTCTTATTTTTGCAAACCTCACTAATAAGCTTAGTACAGATCTGATTGGATGATAGAGGGAGGGAGGAAGTGGCCCTCCTTCTAATCTGCCCTGCTTTGTGCAGTGTGCGTGGATTTTCCTTTTTAAGATGATCTCTTTTGAATTGAAGAATCGATTATAACGATTTCATGGGATAGATGTTGGACTAGAAGAACTTTGATAATGCTCCCAACCCTAATGTTCTATGATTCTGTATCTCCTCACCTGGAGCCTTAACTTCTTAAGGGTGAGGAACTATGACTGAGACATAGCATCTACTACCAAGGATGACCCCTTAACAGATGATACCGTAACAGTTCATGATTAAAGTAGTTGATAAACTGGCTTATTTATATGATTATTTGCATCTAGGAGCACTATAAAGAATAGGACATAGTTTTGACTCTCAAGGAATGTAACTGTATCTCCTTGATACAGAGTTTTAAAACTCTGTTGAAGCTAGAATGGTAATGGCTAAATAAAAGGGTCAGAAATACTACTCCTTTGGTCCCCATTATAACCAGCTTCCCCAGCATACTTACAAATCTAAACCTGTCAGAGGTACACATATTCCACACAACACACAGAGACACATTCAGATTCTAAGGCAAAAATCTTCACCAAATAGCATTATGTGAGACAACAAGCATTGTGTAAAGTTATTCTCATAAAGCTATAGCAAGCAGTGCAATAAATTTGAAAAGGAATGATTTATGATTCACTAGTGACAGCAGTATTTACAGGTCTTTTTAATATCATGCAATTATAACATAAAATGTAGAAACTCAGAAAAAAAGCTTAAAGATGATAATGATATTAGAAATCATTCTTCCCTCTTTTTGTGTTGTTTTCAGATAAAGGAAAAACTGATACCAAGGAATCACACAAGTGGTTATTGGTGACTGGTACCAGAACTTGGGTCTCTTGGCTCCAAGCCCATTCTGTTATATCTGGCAGTAGAAATATCAGTGCAAGCTGTCCCTAGCATTTAGAAGTTGGTATTTCTACCAGATTGTGGAGCCAAACTGTGTAAAGACTTAGAATCTGGAAAGAAAGCTCAGTTGGAAAATATTCCTAAGCGAAAAATGAACCAAGTCACAAAAAGTAAGGCTTCCAAAAAGAGAGTAATTTTAATAGGAAACAAAAAATGCCTAAAAATAAACTATGGAATGAGAAGACTTAGTTGTTACTCATTTAGAACTATTAGTAACAAAGATACAAACATTAAATAAATACATGTTTTATATCCTGCTTTGGATTGAGTCACAGAAGGAACTATGAATGAGGACATAAAGAGAGAATGGAGACTGCTTTGTGCTTAATTTGACACTGCCCCTTTAATATAAAGAATGCAAAAATATCAAAACCTACCATAATTATCTTAATACTAATAATAGAGTTGCTGGCTCTGTTTGGTGAGGCTACAAATTCAATTAATTCCAATGCTGTTTCCAATAAGCTCTTTATGAGTCTAAAGAGATTATTAACATGGCAAAATTTGAAAGATTGAATTACAATAACAATTTCTTGTAAGATTTTTGAAGCTTTTAGCAGGTTTGCTTGCATGAAAATAACAATCTATTCACCTGATACAGTAGAAAGAGCAAGCTGGGAAGAAAGGGAGTGAGGGATGAAGTATAAAAGGTAGGGAGGGAATAGTATGCCTCGTTCTTGTTTATGCACCAAGTGAAAAGTCAAGGCCCATGTCAATGTCAGGTTTGCTCCCGCGACCCCAAGGCTGAACAAGATTGAAAAAGGCTGTGGCCTCTTTTGGGTCCATGTGTGGAACTGGAGATAAACTGGCTCAATCTGTCTGTACGTACCGGGCACCAAAGTTGGGCACCGGTATTGAACTGGCACACACAGTCCTGGTGGCAACAGTGAGGAGCGGCTCCGTAATCTGGCACTAAGGAAAAGAGTGAGAATTATTATTGAACAAGGCCCTCCAAAAAAACCCCCAAAATAGCAGCAAAGTCTCTACTGGTTTATTAATTGATTAACTTAGGTCTAAATATTATAGGTATCATGGCATAATGCTCCCACTTAGTTAGGAATCAGTACAGCCTTCAAGCCGGGGATAGCTAGAGGCAAGTCTCATCCTTCACCTGAGTCTTTATACCTTTAAAAAAGCCTGTTAGATTTTCTTGCCTGTATTGCATGATTTGCTGCTTCTATTTCACAAGAAGCTGTAGGGGCCAACACCTTTCCAGTGTTATGTTACATGGTGTAAGAGTTGTACCATCCTTGTTGTAAAAATGCACGCTGCAAGTGATACAGTCTTGCTTGCCTCCCTCGGCTGTTGAGGATGTTGGTGTCTCACAGCACGCTAGGCTGGGACAGATTCCTTCTTGTATGTTTCTGAGCTGTTTCTTCAACCACCCGGTCCCAAGGACAGGGCTTACGCCTGCCTTCACCCCGGCTGATTGATCACGTAGTGACGGGGTGACTGGCCAAGTCTCTGTTTGCTGGACGTGATAACTGCCGAGGCTTCCCCACCAGGACTGCCCGTTTGCCACACGCCCATTAGCCTCGGAGGCTGAGAGCCAGGTGCCGCCGCGACATTTTGCTGTAGGGTGACTGCAGGTCCTGCACTGCTGGCAACCCAGGAGGACTTTGTTCTGATGTGCAGATGCCTGGGGCTGCTAGCTCAACACCCTGGAAAGGGCTGGTCATTTCCTCCCCTAGTTGGGACAGGATGGCAGAGCCTGCAGGCAGAGAGCTTATTAGCATGACCATTTGTTAAATACAATCAAGCCCTTTCTTTGTGGTCTTTTCCTGCTTCTCTTACCCAGGACTCATTTCTGTATCTATCAGGGATTAAAGTGGTGCCTTAGGCACTTCAAAGTCTAAAAGAAAGCTGAGGGTGGGGAGGGTTGCCCCACCCTCCACTCTGCCCGGGACTTGTGGGTTCACAGGCCTCACTCTCTTCTAGTCTGGCTTTCTTCCTGGAGGGAAGTATTCATAGGATGGGGTGGATTGGCTCAAGGGAATGGGGAAGCTTTTTTTTTTTTTTTTAACATTGTCCTTATTTTGAGTCTTTGGCTGGAGCATGGGATTTAAAAATACCCTCTATCTGTAGTAACATAAAATTGTTCATTATGGTAAGTTTGGCTAACCATGAGGAGAGAAAATGGAAGTGGGGGTAGTGAGAAGACTGATGTGTTAGGTCTTGAGCAGCGCGTTAGGTCTGCATGGTCTTGTGGGCAATGGGGCTTCTCCTGGCTTGCCTTAGCATGGCCAGATGTTATCGCTACATTTCTTTTCTCCCTCTTGAATCGGAGAAGCGAGAGGACTGATTTCTCTCATTGCCAGGTGAGTGCCCTGTTTTTGTCAGGAGACATACATAGGAGCATTTTTGGAATCTCCTGCTGATTATTGTTGTTTCAAGACCCTAAAAGGAGAAGAGGGAAGAAATAAGAAATCAAAATGAGAAGTGACTCTGGGCATCCTTAGAGGGAGCCTTCCTCCATACAGATGTCCCATGAACAGTGCCACCTAGAAGGTGATCTTCTCCAGATCCTGACTTTGACAGGTCCTGGGGTTGGGGAGACGCCGGGAGCATGACTGTCAGGTATTAGAAGTGTCCATTGGGCCAGAAGAAACTATGACACTACACGAGTAGTCAAGAGGGAGAGAATTGAAGCAAATAGTGCTCAGGAAATCTCTGGAAGGAAATCAACCCTGAATGTTTGTTGGAAGGACTGATGCTGAAGCTGAAACTCTACTTTGGCCACCTGATGCCTAGAGCTGACTCGTTGGAAAAGACCCTGATGCTGGGAAAGATTGAAGGCAAAAGGAGAAGTGGGTGAGAGGATGAGATGGTTAGATCGCATCACCAACTCAATGGACATGAGTTTGAGCAAACTCCGGCAGATAGTGAAACCTGGTATGCTGCAGTCCACGGGGTCAAAAAGAGTCGGACAAAACTTATTACTCAACAACAACAACAACAACAACAAAAATATTCTCTGAAACCCACCCTCAACCAAAGAGTCACTGAGAAAGACTGATACCCCAGCACCTTTCCACGGGGTCTTGAGCTGAGGCTGCTCCCCGTGAACCAGGAAAATAAATAATCTTGGCTTTGGGGTAGAAGAGAATTTTGTCCACTTGGTCTCAGCCTAACTTATTGACTCCAGCGGCTGGAAGGACAGGGTAGGAGCTGGGAGAGAGCAAGAATGCCAAGGAGGAAGGGATGCCAAGGAGATGTTTCTGGCGACGGAGCAGCTGGCTTCCTGCTGTCACCGAGATTGGCCAGCCCAGGAGGATCCTAATTATGGCACAACTATTGCCTCCATAATCACTGTGACAGGAGCTGTGTGGGCCAGAAGGAGATGTGAGATGGAGCCGGTTGATGCTGAAGAGGATGTTGGAATCACTGCTTCTTGCCCCAGCTTCAAACCAGAGGCTATTATTGCCAGCTGCCTGCTAAGGTTGAACCAGCTGCTGCCAAGAAAAGGGCCAGCCACCTCTTCTGCCTCATTTCCGGGATGCACCAGCCGCAGTCTGCAGGTCTCTCTCTGCGTCGTCTGGCCAGAGGGAGTGGACAGACTGCCAGGTGGGCCTTTAGGACGGTTGTCTTTATGGGAGGCCAGCGGGAGAGTTTAAAAGTATGGTGTGGGATTCAGAGAGAACTGGGCTAGAAAATACACCTAGATTAAAAAACAAAGAAGCAAGAGCCTTCAGTGGAGGGACTTCCTTAGTGGTCCAGTGGTTAAGACTGCTTCCGACGCAGCGAGTGTGGGTTTGATCCCTGGTCAGGGAGCTAAGATTCTGCAGGCCTTGTGGCCAAAACCCCAAAACACATGAAACAGGAGCAGTATTGTAACAAATTCAATAAAGACTTTAAAAAATGGTCCATATTTAAAAAAAAAAGTCATTTAAAAAAGAGTCTTCTGTCGAATTATCCCCAAATCAAAGACAAGAGCTGTGAAATTTATCATTTAGGGATATTGGTTAGGTGATCTCTTCCATTCAAGTAATTAAGGGAAAATAAAGCCATTTCCCCCTTCCACAGCCCTTGTACTTTATGTCCGAGATTCTGTCCCACCTCCTTCTATGGATAAATGCCCAGGTTTCGGGGTGAACAGTCCCTTGGGCTCCCTAGGTGGCTCAGGCAGTAAAGAATTTGCTTGCAACGTAGGAGACGCAGGTTTGATCACTGGATCGGGAAGTCCTCTGGAGAAGGGGCTGGCAACCCACTCCAGTATTCTTGCCTGGAGAATTCCATGGACAGAGGGGTCTGGAGGGCTGCAGTCCGTGGGGTTGCCAAGAGTCAGACATGACTGAGCAACTAACACTTTCACTTTCAGTCTCCTGGATGGTAGTCTAAATAGTGCCTGTTGAGGTCAACTTTCCAATGAAGTGTGAGAATTTATCTGGGAGTCGCAGTGTGTTTGCAGGGAAATCTAGAAATAAACCAGAGCTGCTAGAACCAAGGTGAGATGGGCTTGAGAGTGGAGGAGATATATAGTCCTTGTCTTGATTTGTCCATGTGTTGACCGGTTCAGGAAAATACCAAGATTAGCCATTTACAGCAACATCTCTGGATGTCCAGTATCCTTTGTGAGTCTTTTGTAGAGTTTTCTGCCTTCTGATACCAAGGAATCTTCTGGGAGAAGACAAGGCATAATGCGTTTGTTGTCAGATTTTGTTTCCCTTGGGAGATAAGGTTACAACATAGTGCTAACTTTTGCAGAGTTGACTTTCCATGTTGATACTTGGAGTGGCTCACTGAGAGAGAAAACTTGTGGCGTCTCAGAATTTAATGGCTTTTTATTCCGCTTTATTTTGTTATTCCCTTTTATTCAGCACTGCTTTGGCTTTATTGGCCCTTGGCTCCAATAAAACTGTGCATTACACAATCATAGCATTTCCTGTTAGGTCGTACCTTTGGATTCCCATGTGTAAAGCCAGTGAATGGCTGTATAGTTTTTCAGCATTGAGAGTAGTCAATTTGGGAGGCTGAGATGCTCACATCCTAGTGTGTTCTATACAGAGCCACCACAAAATAAACCTGGCTTTGAGGGCACAGACTTTCATCCCCTAGACTCTTCTGTTTATTCCCTCCAAATCCTTTTAGCTTGGTTTATGAGTCTGAATGTGATGCTAATAACCATTCCCCCGAAAAGCTTCTCTCACACGTGCTGTAAGAGATTGATGTTCCCCCCCCTGAGCTTTTAGCTGATCCTTTTACAGAGAGCATTTGGGAAAAAAATATGACTTGAGTCTCTTTTCCACAGTTCTGGGGGTGAAATAGTAGTAAAAGCCCTGGTCTTTGAAGTTACCAGTAGCCCTAAGAGAGAATTTAGGATTTTGACAGGATAGTGGAATTGGGATTTGAAAAAGGGTGGAAATACCATTTTGAGATACTATCAACACCATAACATTTCCTGTATGTTCCAGCTTTAAAAGTTGTAGAGTCATTAGAATGGTGCTATGCTAGAGACACTAGGCTGGTTTTACTGGAATATGTTAAACTGTGAGGCAGTTGATTTTTCCCTTAGATGATAAGCCAGACATAAAGTCTCAGGAAGATGAGAATACCGTGGATGCTGGCATTTTAATGAGTATAGTTTTGGAAACATAATTAGAATCATGCATTTGAGAGGCAAAGATTAATTAGTGGAGTAAATGACATCATATATACATGTATAGCTTATGGCTGGCTCCAGTGCATCATGAATCGGTTAGTATCTGTTCACACCTGGAACCACTTATGGCACTTTGAGTAGGCAGAATGGAAACCATGTATCCTGGACAGTCCACTGTTGACATACACCATTGGAAAATATGATGTCTTTCTTCTTCAAGATCTTAGTTCTCTCCATCCCCACCCTTGCAATATATGGTTTCAGTATTGGATAGCAGGGATGGGGTTGAGTGTAGAGGTGGATGCCTCCCTGTTTCCCATCTTCACATGTAGGCTGCTTTGATGCTGGCTCATTTCTTTGTAACTTCAATGCTCTGTTTCTCATCTAGGCTACAGAAATTTCTTAAGAATTTATGTGATTCATGCAAAAAAACTGAATCGGTCCCTTACCCAACACCATGTACAAAAGTTAACTCAAAATGAATCACAGACCTAAATGTAAGATCCACAGCTGTAAAACTCTTGGAAGCAAGCATAGAGCCAAAGTTTTAACTACATTGGGTTTGGCGGTGATTTCTTGGATATGATGCCAAAGGCATAGGAAACAAAAGGAAATATAGACAAATTGCCCTTTATGGAAATTAAAAATTTTGTGCATCAAAAGACAATGTCAGCAGTGTAAAGAATGGGAGAAAATAATTGCAAATCGTACATCTGATAAAGAATTATTATCTAGAATATATAAAGAACTTCTGAAACTCAACAACAAAACAAACAACCCAAGTATATAGAATGGAATATCATTCAGCCTGAAAAAAGGAAACTCTGACATATAGTACAACATGGATGAATCTTGAGGATATTATGTGAAATAAGTTGGTCGCTAAAAGTGACTGAACTGAACTGAAAAGACAAATACTGTATGACTAGACATATATGAGGTGTTTAGAATAGTAAAAATCATAGTGATGGAAAATAGAATAATGTTTTTGAGGGGGTTGGGGCGAGGAAGAAATGGGGAAATTATTGTTTAATGAGTATAGACTTTCAGTTTTACAACATTAAAAGTTATGGAGATGGAGGGTGGCAGTGGTTGCACAACATTATGAATGTATTTGATACCCCTGGAATGTATACACATTTTAAACATATACACACATTTTTATCATAGTTGACCAAAGAGCTGATTTAATAAGGTGTTCACTTGGATTTTATAAAATCTGAGTGCTGACTAATATGTGAAGTTATATAGATTAGTATATACAAATGATTTAATATATAGGCATTACAATTATGCTGACAAATAAAAAATACTCAATATGTAATATAAGGTACCAAGATCAGAAGCCAAAACTGTATATTGTGGTGATCTCCTATCTGTAAAAATAGGCAGAGAAAATAAACTTACAGGAAATATTGCAAAATGTTAACAGTGGTTATCTGTTGGCAGTGAGCTTGAAGGTAATTTTTCTTTCCTGTAAAACATTTTCTTCAAAAAGCCTAGTGTTTCTATAATCAGAAAAAATTTTATAATGAAAAATAGTCACAAAATCAGTATTTTTTATTTGGATAATGCTAGGTATGTGTCTTCTTTACACCCAATCAAAGGGTGAGTATACCTGAATAACATTTGAGAATCAGACTTCTGGTCAAGAATATACAACTATAATGAAACACATGGTTTCTAAAGAGAAATGAGATCTGTCTTAAGATATTTTGACTTCCAGGGCTTTGTGGAGGCACAAAATCCTCTGTGAATTGGAGGCCTGCCAGCTTGGGCAATACTGCTTAACAAATGAGGTTTATAAGCCTTTCTTCAGTTCGTATTGATAGCATTTTCTTACTCAGATGTAAATACCACAGCTGGTGAAGTGGCAGTATTAATTAGCCTTGGGAAGTAGGTTGAAGGATATGAAAGAAGAATCACTAGAATTGTCATAGGCTTTGACTGTAGGTACAAAGCAAATGGAAAGGTAGATATGGCTTTTCCTCCACCCTTTGAGAAGACAGATAATATTAACTATGGGATATGTATAGAGGAGGAAAAAATCTTACGTTAAGAGATGACCACAGAGTTTCCTTTATGGGCAAGTTCCATTGTTTGACTTGTTATCTGTGTTGACCGTTTTGACTGGGGAAAGAAGGTCCTAAGGTCTCAGATGCTATGGATTAGAGTGGTCTTATATAAGCAACTCTGAATGCGAAATGAATAGGGCATGTGGAGTCTAGGGGCAAGTGAAGTAAGTAGAGAAGAGAAGGAAGGAGGAGGAAGCTAAGTGTGTAAATGTGTGGTTAGAAATGGAGCAAGTCCTAACACAAGGCACGGAGAATCCTGCAGTGATGGTGGAGCGATGGTGGTGGATGAGAGCTACGGCACTTCTCAGAAGAGGAATGGAAGCCTCTCTTCTGTTGATCCACGCTGTTCAGTCACTAAGTCCGACTCTTTGTGGTCCCATGGACTGCAGCACACCAGGCTCCCCTCTCCTTCTCTATCTCCTGGAGTTTGCTCAGATTCATGGCCATTGGGTTGGTGATGTTATCTAACCATCTCATCTTCTGCTGCCCGCCACCCCCTCCCGCCCCCGCCCCTTATGCTACTGCCTTCAATCTTTCCCAGCATCACGGTCTTTTCCAATGAGCTGGCTCTTCACATCAGATGACCAAAGTATTGGAGCTTCAGCTTCAGCATCAGTCCTTCCAGTGAATATTCAGGACTGATTTCCTTTAGGATTGACTGGTTTGATCTTGCAGTCCAAGGGATTCTCAAGTCTTCTCCAACACCACAGTTCAAAAGCTTCAATTCTTTGGTGCTCAGCCTTCTTTGTGGTCCAAATCTCTTATCCATACATGGCTACTGCAAAAACATAGCTTTGACTATGTGGACCTTTGTTGGCAAAGTGGTGTCTCTGCTTTTTAATACGCTATAACCGTCCCACACCCTTTGCTAGCAGTGTCTTGCGTTTTCACTGAGGAATCTTCTACAGGGACTTCACTAGTGGTCTGGTGGCTAAGACTAGTGCTCCCAGCACAGGGGACCCAGGTTCAGTTTCTGGTCAGGAAACTAGATCCCACAGGCCACAGCTAACAGTTCGTGTGCTGCCACTAAAGACCCCGTGTGCCACAATTAATGCCTGGTATAACCAAATAAATATCTTTTTAAAAGATCTACTACCTCCTATGGCCAGGTATGAATATTCTTTTTGGAAAATCAGGAAAAGGGGCTATGTTCCATAAACGGGCTGACCTAAAGAGGAAAGGAGAAGAAGAGAGGAGAGAGACATTACTATGGCTTTAACAGAGAATTGGAATTGAAAATGTGAAGGAGAAACATGTCTCCCTAGAATCCCTGGAAATGCTGAGTGGCCTGTTGCACTACCCAAGGTGGTTAGAATGAGATTTGAGATCACACTCTCAAAGGTAGGGTCACCCTAGTTGACATCTATGTTGCATTTGTACTTTTAGAGAGGCAAATGTTTGAATGATTAACACTTTCAGATTGATGGATTAATTGATTTTAGCTAACCAAATGCCCAGCCCAGGAAAAACTCAGCCCAAAGTTTGGATTTTTCTCAGTTCACAGGTGTAGTCTTTCCCCGCTTGTTTCAAGTAATATGATTTGTAGTTGAGATTTGCAATTGTCAATGATCTGTTCTCCTGCCAATATTTAAAAAGAAAAAAAATTGGCATGGGAAGAAAATAACCATAAAGACATTTAATCAGTTACAAGAATGGGGTTTATTTCTCCCTACTGGGTCATGTTTTCCAAATAGTCTTCAGAGAGTTTAAGCTGATTAATATTTGTCATGTCAAAACCACATAATTGCAATTCAGCCCATTAGTATGCCCATCGTCTTACAGCATGGGACGGAGCAATCAATTTATCACAAAAATTTCATTTGTTTACTACCCAGACAAAGAAAAGAGCAGGATTGGAAATTATGTCAATGCTGTTAGTAGTGATTTGGGGGGCTCTTATTTTCCCTTAGTAATTGAAGTTTGGATCTAGGATATTTCTACTTGTGAGAGCCAAATCCATGAGATTACACTGCGGCACATCCCATCAGCTATTAATCAAGATATTTAAAATTGAGGGTGAGAGGCCTCATTCTGGACAGTTCAGTTTCTTATTCATGAGTTCAGAGGATTTTCTTTTTTTGGATGCTTTTTTTCCCCTTTCCACTCTGTTTTTTATTAGATGATCTCATTTTATTGGGACCAACAAGGAAAAATGAGTACACAGGGATTATCTGTGCTTAAAAACGCACATTTATGGAAGTGCAATTTCAGGTTGAAGTATTATTAGGCAAACTAAATACGGCAGACTAAAAAAGTCATAGAAAGTAGGAGATTTGGCTTTTAGTTTATACTTTGTTACTTGCAAGCTCTGGACAAGTCACTTACTTTTTCAGTTCCTCATTAGCTAATTATTGGATGAGGATAATGATACATGTCCTACCTGAAGACCAGGACTGAACTGAATGGCCATGTGTCTACCTGAGCTATACAGCACGTTCCCTCCATGGTCCATTACTGTACTTTCTTTTGCTTCATGGCATGGGTCATTACATGACTTTTTACCATGGACATATTTTTTTTTTTATTTTCTGTTTATCCAAATAGAAAGTAAGCTCCATGAAAGCAGCCTCTGTCTGTGTTATTACCAGTGCTAGGCCAGTGACTGGCACATGGTGTATGATCAAAAAGATTTGTTGAAAAGATGAATCCTCGCTGTAAAACCTAGGATTATAAAATAGAATCTGATCCAGCATGGTGGCAAAGCTTTGTTGTCAAGATGTCATGTTTCAAATATCAGCCCCACCACTTTCTGGTCATATGAACTTGGGTTAGTTAATTAGCTTCTTAGGGCTTCAGTTGTATCTTTTGTCATGGGTAGAATGGGCCTAGCTATAGTACCTAACTCTGAGTTGCCGTGAGGATAAATTAAATAATTCTTGTAAAGTAATCAGCAGCAGGTCTGAATTCATTGTTAGTTGTCACTATGAGTTTCTGGATTCATAAAGCATGGATTTAGTGTATCCAAGCTGGAATGAAAAGATTAGATCTGCCACAATAAAGACTTAGAATGACAAAGGTTTATTGTTGTCTCATAGTAAATGCTCTCTCCTGGGAATCTTAGTTTTGAGGTAAAGTTACGTTACTGTATTTGCAGGTTGAATGAAGACTCTCTTACATGATGACCTCTTGTCACTATCTTATTGCGTAGTTAGAGTGACAATCAGGACAAACAGTGTGCCAAGTTGAAGTGGTAGATGAATTACTGGGTTGGCCAAAAAGTTTGTTCAGATTTTTCTGTGCAATGTTATGGAAAAACCTGAACAAACCTTCTGGCTAACCCGATGCTTTGGAGCCCAGAGGGGCAGCAATGATGGTGGTGATGTTGCTAAAAGAGGAAGAGTCAGGTGGTTGGCTGCACCCACCAGGCACTTCCTTCAGGAGTCCCACAACACCCTTATGCGTTCGGTACGACTATCATTCCCATCTTACAGATGGGGCATCTGAAGCTTGAGCTGGTCAGATAACTTAGGTTACAGATGGGCTCATGCAGCTGGTATGTCTGGAGGTGGAATTTTGACTCTACACACCCTTAACCAATTTATTATCAACACTATCTCAGCATTTTTCCAAGGACAACATTTGATCAGGGTCCTTTGATGACAAAGTCAGTGAAATACCGTAATTGATCAGAAGAATGGAGGGAGTTCGATGTCTCTTTTGTTTGTCCTATAAATGACATACCGTGTGACCCTGGCCCTCTGCTTCTTGTTTTTATTTGATTATGTTTATATCTTGAAAGCAATGGGTTTTCCTCGAAATTGTGATAAGAAATCTGAGAAAGTGGCAACCCTGCAGGAGAAAGAAAACCATGACAAGCTGACGGTGAGTGTGGAAATGAAAACACAGAGGTGTCCCTAAAGTCTAATTGCCAGTGTTCTACTCCAGAGGGAAACTTTGATAGTAAGCATCGAGAATTCAGCCCTCCTCATCATTTCACATATTGGGCATACAGTTTGTGTGAGGATTACAACATGAATCTTCTTAGGTACCTCTGGTTTCTGACACGGCAGCAGCCTTTGAATCACTGAGTGTTTTTTCCCCTGCGGCTTAATCTCCAGTACAGCCAATTTAAGGATGGGAGGAGTTTTTACTTTATCTGTTCCAACCACACTCCCACTTTCTGCCTTCATACCAGGAAGACGCTTCGACTCTGTTGCTCGGTGCGGGCTTGCCGACATGTGGGCACTGTTGTGTATGTGCATCTGGATATTTCTGAAGACGCCGGAAACAATGGTGAAAAGTGTGGGAGGGTGAGGACCTGTATTGTGTAACAAACTGGAGGCAACAAGGAGGCTGCATTTGTTGTGAGTTAAAAGGTTTATACAAAGATTTTCTTAGCAATGTCTGAGATTTTAATAGGGTAATTAATCTTTCTAAGTGTTAGTGCCAGATTATGGGATCAGCTATTATCCCTGGCTGCAGAGTAATCCTTTGTGTATTGCTATGAGCAGGACTAAGTGAAGAGAATACTCAGGTTGCCAAACAAAGATATGGCCCCTGTTAGCTTGTTTGGGTTTTTAAATGTGTTTTCTGGTGCAGTTAAAAGAACCCTATTTCCATGGGACTATCATTGCCCTTTAATAGCCATTGAGTTGAGGGGAATGGCAGATAAATAAATATACACGCTTTTTGCTTTTTATTCCTTAACATCCAATTATTATTATTTTTAAAATAATGATGGGCATATTCATTGGAGACTGTAAGCCAGAAAATACAGAAAGAAAGAAAGAAAGACTTACAAGAATAGGGCAAAAGGTCTCCATCTAAGTTCCAAAAGTTTTGTCTCTTTCTCTTTCCTTAATTGAAGTTAGTGAAAGTGGCCAAACAATCCAGCAAGCCAACAAAAATCCAAGGGGAAACAATAGCAGCTAATGAGACTTGGCTAAAGCCTTTAATCAAGATTGATTATTTAATGTAGCTTATCAAAATATTGATTACCAATAGATGACTTTTTCTTTGTTGTGCATCTGTTTATCTATCTACCTATCTATCTATATATGTTGTGCGTATACGTGTGTGTATATATAAAATTCAGGACATTCTATTCCATGTGTATTGAACTCTGAATGTATAGTGATGGTGTTGCAATTCAGCCAGTGGCCTTTGCTCTGGCTTTGCTTAAACTTCCCCTTGGCTTCGACCAGGATTCTGCTCTGGCTGTGTAAATGAGGGGGTCCTTCAGGTCTGTATGTCTGTTGGTTTGGCAGTTGGCTGCAGTTACTGCTTATTTTTCCCAAACTGCTCCAACTGTTTTGTTTACATGAACTCTTGTAATTCTCAGCTGCTAGTATCACCGCTCAGGTAAAAAATACTCTCTTTTGGACTGTAACTCCTTCACTGTGCACGAGGCCACACTCTCTGTGTTGAGTCCACTGTTATGATTGGCTGCTCAGCTTAGGAAGGGTCACTAGGTTTGTTTTTTCTTGAACAATGTCTGAATTTTGGCCTTAAATTCTACTTACCAGTGAGATCCACCAGAGGATGCTGTAGGTGGGTGGTGGGGAGACATTCAGTAATTTATTTGCCTTTTATAAGGAAGTGATATGAGAATGATGACTTAGATAAAAGTTACCTAGTATTTCCTATGTAGGGTGGAACAATGTATTTTATGGAAAATTTTAAGGAGGAGGAAGAACTTGGACTGGGTAGTCTGGTGATCTTAAAGTCACCTCAGTGCTTTAGTTATAGCCAAATACTGGTTGGCCAAAAATTTCACTCCAATTTTTCCACAATATCTTACAGAAAACTCAAACGAACTTGTTGGCCAACCCAATATATAGTTATGTCTCTCTCTGTCAAGATATGGGCTTCCCAAGTGGCTCAGTGGTCAAGAATCCACCTGCCAATGAAGCAGGCACAGGTTCAATTCCTGGATTGAGAAGATCCCCTGGAGAAGGAAATGGCAATCCAGTCCAGTATTTTTGCCTAGAGAATCTCATGAACAGAGGAGCCTGGCCGGCAACATCCATGGGGTCACAAAGAGTCAGACAGGACTGAGCAACTGAGCACACATGCTCTATCTATCAAGATGCTACCCTTCCAGTACCTGAGGGGATGGCAAGAAGGCCTCTGGAGAAGGGAGACGTGCTCAGGAGAGTAAGATGATGGTCAGGATGCATGTCAGTCATCCTGCATGCCACCAAAAATGGTTCATGCAGCAGCTTGGGCTGGGGTGCCTGCCAGGGTAGTGTATCTCTCTTATATTAGGTGATGCTTGCCAGTTACCTTTGCAGATTGCTGCTACCATTGGAGGAAATATTACCCGAGGACAGTCATGAGATTATTCAACGAAGGTCAAATAAACTGTACTCCCTAACCAAAGGGGGTTAAAATGCTCTTTTTGTTGTCACATCACACAGAATACTGGTCATGGGGGAGGAGGGATGAGTCAGATGGTATTTGTAAAAAAAAGTAAGAGAGAGCACTACAGCATCATGCAGTCATTCCTGTTAATAAATAACAGCAGCAGTCAACATTTTGCACACGCTGTTTTGCACAGTATATTGAGGGGAGACATATCTCCTGGAGCAATCAATTATAAAGACTCATGATTTAAAATGCATGCCCAGCCTTTGCAGATGAAAAGTTTGAGTGTTGGGGACCACTCTTAGGGACGATCATATTGAAGAGATTCCAGAGCAAGATAGGGACAAGCAGAAGAGCCATCCCACTCTGGAAAGACTCAGGTTGGAGAAGAGAAGAGACTATTTGCTGGATGAGGAGGAACTGCTATTGAAGCAGGGAACATTGTGTAATCCTGTCATAACAGGTTTATACAGGTGTGTGCTTGGGGAGGTCTTACTTCTGTGTGTGGGTTTTAACATATCCCCTTGTTGTCTTACTAAAACTCAGTGTTGTTGAATACCTGGTCTGGGTGGACCCGTTTTGACTCTTCCAGGCAAGATTCTGGGTCCCTCACTGGCTCAAAGAAGTAGAAGCTGCAATAGAAAGCTACCACGACAGGCTTGACTTCTGAGTGGGTGTGCTCCAACCCTTCACAAGTGGACAGTCACTGTGATAAAGTAAATCCTCATCTATACTGCATTTGAAATATTGCCAAGGATACGCTGACAATGTAGGTGGTTAAGAATCCTTTTATGTATTCTTTTTCGGCAAAGGTGAAGAGAAGATGGGGGCAGAATAGAGAGGGTGAGATTGGGAGAGAGGGTGGGCTCCATCCCCCTTGATGGAGAACCGGATAGAGTACAACTTCATTCTGCCACAATCATTCCTCTGCTTGCCAATGATAAGGTCAAGTATCCATATGTTGGAATTCAAAGAATTAAAAAGAAGTTTCTTCAGTGGGTTAATGGCAACACCAATGCAGGTCACCAAGAATAATGAAAGTAAACAGAAAGTCTACCCAATGATGGGAAGAATGACTACACTCTCATAATTTCTCATGTTTCAGAAAATTTCCAGAATTACTTTATGGATGTCAGTATATTTATCAACTCATATTATGATAGTGCTAGAAATTTCTTCATCTCCAATGGAAGTAAATAATAATGCTATTTTACATGGAGGCTTTTTCTTTGTTTCCTTTTAAAGTTTTAAATTTATTTTAAAAGACAATGTATAGCCCTAGTAAAAAAAAAATCAGAACATGCAGTAATAAAAAGCATATTGTCTAAAACCCCAGAATATATAAAAAAGTATATAGTAAAAAATTGTTAGAGTGGTTTTTATAAATATTTACTTTTTTGAGCATAGTTTTTGTGCTGCTGTCCTGCATTTGAAAAAGATAAACAGAAGCTTCTCTTGTTTTGTTCTTCAGCCAGGGTATTAGACAAACTGATCTACTTAATAGGTTTAGAAATTTTTTCTAATTTTGGAAAATGGTCCATTAGGTGAAGTTTGGGGAAAGTTATATGTACAGTTTTAAAAAATTGGTCTACTCTCTTTCTTGGAATTATTTGGTTTTGCTTTTATTGCTTTGGCTCCTAGTGGACACGTTTGAGCTTTACACATACGTATTAGATGTGTGTATTTATAGGTAATAGAGTGGCTACTGGTCCCACTTCCAACTCTCAATTGGAGAGGATCACTTGGGGGATTCACGATGCTAAATAGGAACCTTCATTCCCATCCAGCTCTGCTGTTAAAAGTATCCCTCTTTGGAGCCGCGCTCAGCTTGCAGGTCTTCTTTTCCTGCTTCCCCCTCTTCCCTTCTTCCCTTTCCTTGCCCTCTTCCTCTCTCTCCTGTGTCCTTTTTTTTCCTTTTTTTTTGCTATTTTGTGTAGAATACTTTTTCTTCTTTTTAAAGATAGATAAGAACTTTGATTCTTGGAACAAGAAACACAATTTTAGTGCCAAGTGAGCTAATATCATTAAATACACACGATTAGCTAAGGTGCTGAGGAGGAATAATTTATAAATTGTGAAATTACCAGGGAGTAATTTTATGAAGAGAAATAGCAGTTTTATTATGCTGTCTGCATATGTCAATACAACATTCATAGATGTGTGACTATTTTTATTCTCAAATGCCTACTAATTTTGCAGGAAGAGACCATGGATATTGTTCAGTTTATCCACCTTATGCTATAGAAGGGGAAACTAAAGCCCCAAGGAGCTAGACTTTTTGTCCAGGGTCACCAAGATACATTTGTCTGAGCTGTATTTATAACTCAGTCTTCGGACTTCTAAGCTTCCCCCATTATATCATAGGGTTGTGTATTTATTTTGCATGTGATTTTCCCAACCTTATTTTGAAAAAAACAAAACAAAACAACTATATAAAATTGAAAAAATGGTAAATACTATATCACCATTATATTCTTTAATAATTGTTCATTTTGCCACATTTGTTTTTCTCCCTG